GTGGGAGGTACAGTAAGTACAGTAGGTATACAGTGTATGTATATTTTATTTATACAGCGCTAACAGGTGTACTCAGCACTTTACAGGTTACATTACAGTAGAGGGAGGTACAGTAAGTACAGTAGGTATACAGTGTATGTATACTTTATTTATACAGCTACAGGTGTACTCAGCACTTTTACAGGTTACATTACAGTAGAGGGAGGTACAGTAAGTACAGAAGGCTGCGTATGTATATTTTATTTATACAGCTAACAGGTGTACTCAGCAGGACTTTATATAATACATTACAGCAGAGGGAGGTACAGGCGTTGTGCAGGTATACAGTGTATGTATATTTTATTTATACAGCTAACAGGTACTCAGCACTTTACAGGTTGCTACAGTAGAGGGAGGCACAGTAACTGCAGTAGGTATACCGTGTATGTATATTGTATTTATATACGCCAACAGGTACTCAAAGCACTTTACAGGTTACATTATAGTAGAGCGAGGTACAGTAAGTGCAGTAGGTATACAGTGTATGTATATTATATTTATATAGCGCTAACAGGTGTACTCAGCACTTTACAGGTTACATTACAGTAGAGGGAGGTACAGTAAGTGCAGTAGGTATACAGTGTATGTATATTTTATTTATACAGCGCTAACAGGTGTACTCAGCACTTTACAGGTTACATTACAGTAGAGGGAGGTACAGTAACTGCAGTAGGTATACCGTGTATGTATATTGTATTTATATAGCGCTAACAGGTGTACTCAGCACTTTACAGGTTACATTATAGTAGAGGGAGGTACAGTAAGTGCAGTAGGTATACAGTGTATGTATATTTTATTTATATAGCGCTAACAGGTGTACTCAGCACTTTACAGGTTACATTACAGTAGAGGGAGGTACGGTAAGTGCAGTAGGTATACAGTGTATGTATATTTTATTTATATAGCGATAACAGGTGTACTCAGCACTTTACAGTTTACATTACAGTAGAGGGAGGTACAGAAAGTGCAGTAGGTATACAGTGTATGTATATTATATTTATATAGCGCTAACAGGTGTACTCAGCACTTTACAGGTTACATTACAGTAGGGGGAGGTACAGTAAGTGCAGTAGGTATACAGTGTATGTATATTTTATTTATATAGCGCTAACAGGTGTACTCAGCACTTTACAGGTTACATTACAGTAGAGGGAGGTACAGTAAGTGCAGTAGGTATACAGTGTATGTATATTGTATTTATATAGCGCTAACAGGTGTACTCAGCACTTTACAGGTTACATTACAGTAGAGGGAGGTACAGTAAGTGCAGTGGGTATACAGTGTATGTATATTTTATTTATATAGCGCTAACAGGTGCACTCAGCACGTTACAGGTTACATTACAGTAGAGGGAGGTACAGTAAGTGCAGTAGGTATACAGTGTATGTATATTATATTTATATAGCGCTAACAGGTGTACTCAGCACTTTACAGGTTACATTACAGTAGAGGGAGGTACAGTAAGTGCAGTAGGTATACAATGTATGTATATTTTATTTATATAGCACTAACAGGTGTACTCAGCACTTTATAGGTTACATTACAGTAGAGGGAGGTACAGTAAGTGCAGTAGGTATACAATGTATGTATATTGTATTTATATAGCACTAACAGGTGTACTCAGCACTTTACAGGTTACATTACAGTAGAGGGAGGTACAGTAAGTGCAGTAGGTATACAGTGTATGTATATTCTGTTTATATAGCACTAACAGGTATACTCAGCACTTTACAGGTTACATTACAGTAGAGGGAGGTACAGTAAGTGCAGTAGGTATAGAGTGTATGTATATTTTATTTATATAGCGCTAACAGGTGTACTCAGCACTTTACAGGTTACATTACAGTAGAGGGAGGTACAGTAAGTGCAGTAGGTATACAGTGTATGTATATTCTATTTATATTGCGCTAACAGGTGCACTCAGCACTTTACAGGTTACATTACAGTAGAGGGAGGTACAGTAAGTGCAGTAGGTATAGAGTGTATGTATATTTTATTTATATAGCGCTAACAGGTGTACTCAGCACTTTACAGGTTACATTACAGTAGAGGGAGGTACAGTAAGTGCAGTAGGTATACACACGGTGTGCATATTTATTTATATTGACTGCACTTTCCACCTTTTGACTTCTAAGACTTCTTTTGGCAGAGCTGAAGGTCGCTTCAATATTAAAATGTCTCTTAATTACATTTTCATTTGTATTAATTGTTAGAAAAACTCCAATTAATCATTTTTATAGCCCCAATCATGTGTGACATATTACATATCTTAGAAAGTATTGAAAATTTGATAAATTGCTTTAAATGGAACCTTTGTCATATGTTAATGTTTGTGGAATGTTGAATTAATTATACTACATTGTCCTGATTTTGACAGATTTTGATAAATAGCTAAGAAGCTATATTTAGGAATATTTTAGATCTAGCAAAAGCTAAATATGTTTTCTGCTTAAATATATATATTTTTTTACTATATATGTTTTTTTAAAAAGCCCTGGTAAGTATACAAATGTCTGTGCTAAATGCTCGAGAGTTCAATCATTAAAACACAAACTAACAATAACAGTTGCAAATTGTTGGCCAGAATATTTAAAATGGAAATAAAGGTGGATTCAAGATTTTTTTTTTTTCTCTAACGTCTGCTTGATTTCATTTTTGTGGATAAGCTTTTCAAATGATTTAATAATTTGGACAAACTTAAATTTTTTTTTTTAAATATTCTGAATATTATTTATTAAAAAATAATTATATATAAAAAGAAATCAACACAGAAAAAAATCGAAATATTGCAAACAATACAAAATAATTTTAAAAGATCATTCCAAAAATATAAACTCATTTTAAAAGCTTATCCAACAATATCAATCTGGCCTTAATCAGGTTTTCAATTCACTGTGATTAACATGTAAATGATAAAATGTTGATGTTCAACAAGCACAGAGCGCTGAAATCAAACTCAAAATCGTATAAAGGTTAATTGCAGTCTTAGTTTGCACTGTTCTAGTTTTTAAGATAGACGCGCCAGGATTTGGCAATTGACTGGACATGAGGGCTGAAGGAGAGGTCAGAGTCAAAGAGAAGTCTTAGGCAGCGAGCCTGCAAGCTAACACCATTGACTTGGAGGGAAACAGACACGGGAGTAGCAACACTCGAGGGAGGATAGACCACAAGTTCTATTTTGGACAGGTTGAGTTTAAGGAAGTGAGCAGCCATCCAGTTGGAAATCGCGGAGAGGCAGTCAGAGACACGAGTCAAGATGGCCGATGATAGAGATCAGGAGAGGACAGATAGAGTTGTGTATCATCTGCATATAAATGATAATTGAAGCCAATGGAGCTGATGAGTTTACCAAGGGCGGCAGTATAAATCGAGAACAGTAGTGATGACAGACAGAACCTTGGGGGACACTAACAGAGAGGGATTGGGGAGAAAAGGCAGATCCAGAGAAAGAAACACTGAAAGATCACTGGGAGAGGTAGGAGGAGCACCAGAAGAGAGCAATATCTTGCAGACCGAGATTACAGAGGATGATAAGTAGCTGTTGATGATCAACTGTGTCAAAAACAGCAGAAAGGTCAAGGAAAATTAGCATAGAATAGTGGTCATGAGATTTAACAGTGATTAGATCATTGAATACTTTGGTGACAGCTGTTTCAACAGAGTGACGAGTGTGGAATCCAGACTGTAGTGGGTCAAGCAAAAAGGTGGACTCGAGTAAGGCTGTCAATCTCACATACACAACTCTCTCAAGGATCTTGGAGGCAAACGGCAGTAGCGAGATAGTTGGGCAGGGAATTAGGGTCAAGGTTTGGCTTTTCCAGAATCAGGGTTATGGTATCCTGTATTAAAGATAGACGAAATATGCCAAAGGAAAGGGAAAGATTGAGAATTTTAGCAAAAGGCAGAGCAAGAGAGGGAGACAGAGTGCAGATGGCATATGAGGGAAAAGGATCCAGGGAACAGTTGGTGGGGCGGGAGGACCTTAGAAGAGCAGAAACCTCTACTGCAGTAGTGGATGCAAATGAGCTTAGGACAGTGGAGGGAGTGGGTTGGGGGGGGGGAGTATTGGTAGGGGATGGAGAGCTATGAGAGATCTCTTCTCTGAGTATGGAAATCTCCTTAGTGAAGTGAGTTGGAAGGTTTGTGGCGGACAACGTGGTAAAAGAAGGGTGAGCAACAGGGCGAAGAAGAGAGTTAAATGTGTGAAATAATTTGGGTTTGCAGGAGATCATGGTTATGGTGGTATTGAAAAGGTTTATTTTTGCAGAGGAAAGAGCCAAGCTGTAGGAACGCAGCATAAATTTATAGTGGAGGAAGTCAGTAGCTGTTCAGCAGTTCTGGAACATTTTTGGAGGTATTGAGTCAGCTTGGTGTGCCAAGGTTGTAATTGGGAGTACTTACTGTGTTTAAATGTAGGAGGTGCCATGATGTCTAGTTGAGAGGAGAGGGTGGAGTTGTAGAATGAGACTGCAGAGTTAGGGCAGGTGAGGTTTGAGATGGGGAAGAGGAGAGTTTGGAGTGTTGTGGAGAATTGGTGGAGGTCAAGACAGTGTAGGTTCCTGCAAGATTGATGAGCTGATTGTGGTGTAATTTGGGTATGGAGTATGCTAAATTAGGCAATTGTGCTATGCTAAAGGAGGAGTTGTTGATTGGGATGTTAAAATCCCCAAATAAAAGGGAAGGAGTGCTAGAGGAGAGAAAGTGGGGTAGTCAGGAAGAAAAGTTTTCAATAAATAGCCTAGGATGACCTGGTGAGGGGAGGTGATAGATGATATCAATTCTTAGAGAAGTGGGTTTAAATAGGTGGACAGTGGTAACTTCAAAGGAATAAAATGATGGGGCAGAGAAGTTTTCACTAAAGTGAGAATTCAAAAGGAATTTAAAATTTCGGCCAAAGTAGCTGAACTCAAAAATATGTCTAAGTCTTTGGCACTTTAGTCAAAAAATAGGGATGTGCATGGGCAAAATATACGGCAATTCAGCACTTCGCCAATTCAGCACTTCGGCATTTCGGTTCGGTTCGGCACTTCTGAAAATCCGGGACTTCAGGACTTTGTCAATTCCCTAACCCTACCCCTAACCCTATACCTAAACTTACCCTTCCCCTAACCCTAGTAAAGGTTAGTTTAGGGTTAGGGGGTAGGGTTAGGGGTAGGTTTAGAGGTAGGGTTAGGGGTAGATTTCTGTCATAATTCCGTTAATTTTCCCTCCCTCTCCTGTTTTACCACTTTTCAGAAATCCAAAGCACTTCAGCACTTCCAAAATTCTACACTTCGGCAATTCAGTTCAGTTCGGCACTTCCGAAATTCGGGACTTTGGCAATTCAGGACTTTGGCAATTCGGTTCAGTTTGGCACTTCATAAATTCGGCAATTCAGACATTCGGAAGCATCCGAATATCCAAATTGCCAAAAAATTTCAAAATTTATATTCGGACCGAAACGAATTGCACAATGCAATAACCTAGTGGTGACATTACAGATCTGTACAAAGACAGAACGATTTTAAATGATGGAATTATGGTTATGTATAAGAACACTTAGCCTGACACTTACCCTGGGCAATTGCTGCCTCATGAGTTTATCTTCACTGAGCTAACCAAACCAGGAAGTAACAGGACTAGTTGTTTGATTGACAGCTAGAGGGGTGTTACAAGGTTAATTTATAAAAGTATCAATATCCATTTAAATCTGCACATAAAAATAAAAACAAAACTCTTCACACAAAGTATTTCAGAAAGCTAAAGTGTTTTAGAGGTTCAGAGTGTCCTTTTAAGGTTTGGGACAGGAGGGATTAGGGTTAGATGGGCTTGAGTCATCTAGGGATTGAGGAGACTCCTTTTAAAATGTTGTGTTTTTGTGTAATGCAACTAACATAGGGGTAAGATTACGGACAGCATTTCATTTTTTTTTACTGCAGGCCTATTGCAGACATTACTCGAAGCATGAAATAGCTACAAAAGTTATTTTTAAAATGCATATTCTGTTTTCGAGGTATGGCATGCATTTTTCATAGCTTTTTAACTCCTGATGAGTCTCTGTCAATCTCAAAGTGTGTAATCCATCCAGTCAGTGATCACCTCTCGCTTTTTAAAATAAAATAAATGGATTTCATTTAATGAGACTTCAGGAAGGTTACTGATTGGGCAGTATTGATATCTATATGACTCCTGGCCAAAGTATATTATATTAATCCTGAGAGCGATACAGCACATACAAAACAAGTCTGACTTGCCTGTCCTGTTTCTTGCGTGTTCAATACCACTAAACTAAATACATTAAAGAATTTGTCACATTCTTCAATTCAATTCACTTCTTCAAATGATCTTAACCATCAGTCAACCGAGAGACTGACTGTGTTGACCTTACAGCTGCTGCATAAGTTGTAGAGTTTGAGGTGGGTTAGAGACCTGCCAGGTGTCAAAGTTTGGTTTACTGGTGCAGCCACATTGAGACTCGGTTAGGTCATTTTAACTGAGATAGAGTTTCTTTCCAAGTTTAGGGAACTCATTATGTTTTGGGCAGATATCGAAGGATTATCTTGGCAGGTCCTACGCCCAACGTAGATTGGATTTTCTGGGGTTGCCTGTATTCTCTGAAAATTTTCTCACAAAGTATCTTTGAAATTTTTGAAAGGTTTTATAGTATGTACATGGGAAATAATGCCCAATCACTGTGAGCTATAAGCTGCCCCTGTGGTATCTGGGAGCACTGTGCGTCAAATAGTAAACTGACGATTTGCAATCATTACTTGAAATTAGTGATCGTGGAGATTGTGGTGCAGACTCTGTTAACAGATTCTACCGAACCAGTTAAACATGCTGATTTTCAGCTTATAGTTACAGCAGAACAACAAATTTCTTCTCACCTCGTGATGATACTTTTTCTTCTAACTTGACGTACCTGCTGTTTTATTCAACCAGTTCAACAAAAATATCTGATAAAGTAAAGATGTAAATTCCATTAGTCACTGCTTTCTTTTCATATTTCCCAATGTTCTAGTACTGTTGAATCTTTTGGTAAAATTGCATTTTTTTTTCTGATAATCAGTTTATTTTAGCTATTTTGTTTTTAACTACTTAATGGAATTTTGAACATTGAAAAAAAAAAACACAAGATTATCGGAGCACTAAATAATGGACGTGTAGGAAAAAATGGGAAGGAAAAGTCCTGCCGTCTATATAGTATAAAAAAAATAAACTCTAATGTATTAATTATGCTATCTCTGCTGCACACTTTGAATTTGGAAAAGGAACTGACCATCTTTAAGGACATTACGATTAACTGTAAACTATAAACCAAAGAAAATTCAACCGGGTATTTTCTTACATATACCAGCATCAAACTGAGTATTTTATTACATATATAGTATAATAAAAATAATATAATGTCAAGATTACGGAAAATGTATTCGTACTTACCGTAATTTTATTTTCCTGGCTATTATTCATGCCAGCATTTAACATATGGGTATAGCTCCTCCCTCTAACCCTCAGGACAGGAAACACAATCAATTAAACAATTAAGCATCCTGAACTGGACACTAACCATGTTGGCCAATTTTCAAATTTTCTAGTTGTACTAGTAAGTAATCTTTATCATGCTGAGAAATCTAAACCCACTTGCATGAAGGTCTGTTAGATATCGTTTCTCGTGGAATGGAAATCGGACGCACTGAGTGGAACGCACGCGAGAGGTGTTTCACCTTTCCTAACGCAGCAAGATCATTTCACCGGCCGGAGAAAGCTCTCCCTCAGATTGCTGACCATCACCCGATTTTCTTACCAAATAAGGACTCATTTGCTCGGACACTACACCTCTATTCTGTGAGTGCGTTGTAATTTTAATTTTATTTTCAATAAATAAGAATTTTTAATATAAATATTTTGGACTTTTTTTACTAACATTACTGATTATCTAGAGATCGTATTACTATAAACCTGTATTGGTGGTATATTAGTAACTGTTAGTTTGTTGCCGCTCTCCGAGATTTTACTGATATATACCAGCATTGGTTACATTATAATCACAACTTGACACTTTATTGCTACTGTTATTTTATTGAGCAGAAGCACAATGTGTAGGATGTGATATTGGTACTGTTGCACTAAAAGAACATTGCTTATCATAGACTTTACTGGACATTATTCTATATATTTTTTTTCTTTTTTTTCATTGCTTTGGATTTTATTGGATTATCAAGCCGATTTGGACCATCTACTTTTATATATTTCTACACTTTTATTGAAGCTTTTTCCCACTTTGTATATTCAGAGTTTTTTGCTGTTTAGTAGAAGACCCTCTTTACACCAGATTCTTTTATGCAAGGTTGCCACCTAGTGCATTTATGTATATTACTACCAGTTTTTTATATTCTTAGTTCTGTATATTCTAAGACATTTTTTGCACATTTTACTATTTCAGTAATTCATACATTTCAAGTGGTTTTGACATTATATGATAGAGTTCTTTAATTTATATCATCCCGTAAGAGATCTCCTAGTACGTGTAGGATTTTCTTGCCTACTATTATTCAAACAATTAAGCATACCTTCCCCTGGTATAATAGGAACCCCATTTGCCATCACACCTCAGTCAAGTAACAAGAAGAAAATCCAAGAGAGGGTGGGAAAATGCTGCCATGAATGATAGCCAGGAAAAGAAAATTACCATATGAATACATTTTCCGTATTCCTGGCTAATCATGGCAGCATTCAATATATGGGATTCCCCCAGCAATAATAACACAGGGAGGCAAATAAATGCTACAAAAATAGTTTAATATATAAATCAGCTATGTGGATTAAAGGAGTTTAGGACAGACAGGCCAAACTCCGAATACGAGCGAGACGCCACATCTACTTTGTAGTGTTTCACAAAGGTCTTTAGAGCCGACCAATTTGCAGCCTTACAGATGCTCTCTGCAGGAACTCCTGACTCTGCAGCCCATGAAGTAGCAATGGACCTTGTGGAATGAGCTCTGATGTCTTTGGGAAAAGGAACATCCCTTGCTTTATAAGCCCTGGAAATAGCAGAAACTGTCCAGGAACGAAGAGTGGAGACTGAAGCAGCTTCCCCTTTGCGAGAACCCCAAGATATAACAAACAATTGAGAGGATTTCCTCCAAGCAGCAGAGCACTCGATATACATCGACAAACATCTCTGAAGATCCAGCATGATCCAGCATGTGACCTTGACTCTTCAGGGGTAGATGGATGCTGAAAATAGGCAGGCAAGACAATTTCCTGATTGAGATGGAAAGATGTAACTACCTTCAGAAGAAATTCAGGTCTCGGGCGGAGAACGACCCTATCATCGAAGAAGGAAGTGTAAGGTTCCTCGGCAGATAAAGACCTGATGTCAGACATTCTTCTGGCAGAGACTAGAGCCAGTAACAATAGAGTCTTCTGAGAAAGGATCTGCATATGTATGTCACCCATAGGTTCAAAGGGAGGATCCGTTAGAGCCTCTAGCACCAGAGGCAAACGTAATACGGCCTTGAAAAAATTAACCACCATAGGTTGATGGGCCCATCGAATACCAGAAAGAGCAGAGATAGCTGAGCAGTGCACTTTAAGGGTATTAAGCTTAAGACTCTTCTCCAGGCCAGCTTGCAGGAAACCCAGGACTTGAGAGATGGTAGGATTACTCACGTCCTGCACAGATGAATTCATCCATAAAACAAAGGTTTCTCAAATTTTGTGGTAGATTTTTCTGGAACATAAAAGGGTAGAGACCACCTGGTCCAATAAGCCCTGTTCCATTAGGGATTGCCTTTCAGAAGCCATGCATGAAGCCTACGCTTGTGAGGTTCTGGATGAACCACAGGGCCTTGTGTCAGTAGATCCTCATAGACTGGAATCTCCCAAGGTTCCCCCATCGCCAACCTCTTCAGAAGTGGAAACCAAGGACATCTTGGCCAGAAGGGGATTACTGCAATCACTTTCCAATGTTCTCTGGAAATCTTCCTCAGAACAGCATGAATGAGAGGACATACACAAGATGAAAGGACCATTTAATTGACAGAGCATCTTGATCCAGTGCCTTCGGATGGAATCTCCTTGATACAAAACAAGGAACTTGAGCGTTCTGTGCAGTCACCATGAGATCCACTTGGGGAAGACCCCACCTCTGGACCAATTGCTGAAACACCAGTCTTGAAAGATGCTATTCTGTGGCTTCCACCTGGTGTCTGCTGAGG